AGTGGTAAGGAAATGTCAAATGAACACAGAAGCCAGAATGAAATGGCTTCTACTAGCCAAATCTAAGGAAATTTGAGCATCAAAATAGCTAATATCAGTAACAAATTACAACCCATTAAATAAATAAAAATACCAAACCAGGAATCCATACTGATAAACTAATGAAGTGAAAGTCTGATGAGGAAGGGGATATTTTCAGAGCCTTAAGTGCCTCGCCACAAAATATACATTAATTACAAAGAGTAAAAGAATAAATCTACAATGTAGAAGACTGGCTGGCAGAGTCAGGAATATGGCAAATCAAATCATACACATTCTGACAGGATGCACTGTGATCTTCCTGATAAATACGCAAACTCTGAATGTAATAATGAGGAAACATCAGACAATTTCAAATTGAGGGACATTTTAATGAAATAACTGGCCTGTAATCTTCACAAGTAGCAAGCTCATGAAAGTAAAGAAAGATTGAGGAATACTTCCAAACTGAAAGAGACTAAAGCATGACAATTAAATGATTCTAAACTGGTTCCTTTTGCTATAAAGGGTATTTTGGGGACAACTGGTAAAATTTGAATGGGATCTGAGGATTTGAAGGTCGTATGTCAGTGTTAATTTCCTCTTTTTAATGGATGTAGTGTAGTCAGCTGTTAATCAGAAGGTCAGCAGTTCAAACCCACCGGTTGCTGCGTGGGAGGAAGATGAGGCAATCTACTTGCATAAAGATTTATAGCCTTGGAAACCCAATGAGGGTTGCTATGAATCAGAATCGACTCATTTCAATGGGTCTGGCTTTGGTTTAATTTCGAGCAGTTATGTAGAATATCCTTGCATGTAGGACATACACACTGTTTCAGGGTGGTGGGGAATCATTGCAACAGCTTACTGTCAAATATTAAGGGAAAATAAACTAGTTTATATCACACTTGCAACTTTTCTGTAAGTTTAAGATGGTTGCTCTCTGAACTACACCTTTATTAAGAATTCCATATTACTAGTCATGTTTCAGTAATCATCTAAACACAGTAAAATCTTACTACGAGGGCAGCTATAAAGCAGGAAATGAATACAACTGCTATTCTTAAAACTGGCAAAAAGCTGATGACTGTAAAAGCTACCTGATGGCTACATGGTGATAATTATACTATTCTCTTTGCTTTTATGAGGTTAAAATTTCACACTAAAATTTTTAACATATATTAAAAAAAGAAAAAAAATACTACTGCTCTTCAGACATATTTAGAGCTGGTAGGATTTAGAAAAACAGGCATAAGTGTTTCCAGCCAAGGTCCTCACCATTAACATCTCTGCCAACACAGTAACTATGTTCCAGGTACAATTACTAATCCTGGAAATAGAACCATCCCTCCATCCATCCACACATACAAATGGCAGAAAAACCTTCATATACTCAGGGGCAAAGGAGTCAGGAAGGTGATAGCTGTGTTAAGTAAGAGATCGCTTTAAGTTTTAGAAATTGTGAAAAATGGCCTGGGGAAGATGTCTGACCTCCTCTAACTTTACAAGGCAGGAGAAAGCTCAAGGCTGATTTCTGTTAGGTAGAAGTCAGACAGACATGCCTCTACCCTCCAATCTTTTTACCAATTCTAACACCAACTATGGGAGCTCTGGTAGCGTAGTGCCTAAGGTATTTATTTGACTGCTAACCAGAAGGCTGGCGGTTCAAACTCACCAGCCCCTTCCTTCCATTTCCTGGAAGGAAGACTGGGCAATCTACTTCCATAGAGATACTGCCTTGGAAACCCAAGGAGGAGTCACTATGAGCCGGGATCGACTCAGTGGCAGTGAGGTTTTGTTTTTTTTTTTTTTTAGTTAATACCAACTGTCTCTCATGACACTCTCCACTTTTATGCTGGGTCTGGTAATTCATTATAATGGCCAAACAGAACTCACAGATCACACTCACAGTTATAGGGTTTATTAGGGAAGTAATAGGTTATAATTCACGATCAGAAAATAGTTTTTCAATCAGGACAGCCTCTTCTCGGCAGTGCCTATGGGCATGCCTCTCTCTGGCCCTTGGCCCCTTGGCCGCAGTGCCCTCTTGGCCCCTGCACTCCTCAAGTAAGTGTTACAAAGCAATTTTAGCTCTGCCAAGAAATGCTCAGAGGCACCGTACTCTGCCATTAAGCCTCCTACCGAAAGCCATTCAGCTTTCTCGCTCCATGGGCCGGCAAGTCTAGCTCCAAAGATAAGTGCCTAGAGGCACCTGACTCTGCCAGCAAGCCTCCTACCCGAAGGCACTCAGTTTTCTTGCTCCATGGCCAGGAAGCCCACCCCTCTGTGTCATGCCATTCTCTTAGTTGTTCTACCTCTATTGCTGCCATTTCTCTGTCACTGCTTCTGGCCATCTCTTTCTGGTGTCACAGCTCTCTGTCACTTGGATTGAGGAGGTTCAGCACAGGGATCTCACATCCAAAGGATGTGATCCACTCCTGGCTCTTCTTTCTTAATGGTGGTGAGATCTCCCCATTTAGCCTCTGGGATGGCTCATTTTAAACCTAGTAGGATAGTAAAACTGACCAATTCCCATATTAACATTCCATACACTTTATTTGCATGGGTAAACAAGGGTAATGCAGCTTATTAGCATTAGTAGCAAGCTGTACAATCCCTGGAGGGCCACAAGGACCTCACATTTGCATGCTGTTGTTGTTGTTATGTGCCGTCCAGTCAGCCCCGACTCACTGCGACCCTTCCTTGGGTTTCTGAGGCAGTCTCACTATGGAAGTAGACTGCCCCATCTTCCTTCTGAGGAGTGGCTGGTGGGTTTGAACCACCAGCCTTCTGGTTAGCAGTCAAGTGCCTTAGGCACTACGCTACCAGAGCTCCTTTTGAACTAATGCCAAGGATATCAATCTTTATGCATTCCATTTCATTTTTGACAACTTCCAATTTTCCTAGATTCATACTTCGTACATTCTGAAACACTGCACCAATGACACAGCCTCAAGCCCCACAGCAACGTACAAGCTTCACAGGATGACAACTGACAGACAAGTTTGTCTCCCTTAGCTGCTGGAAAACTCTGCACCCTCCTCTTACCTAATTCCTACCTGAAACCTGCCACTCTGTGGTCCCCGGCCGCTCCTGGTCCCTCCCTATCCTGGCTCTAGGGGGCTTGGGGCCTAGCCTTGTCTCCTACCCCTTTTTACCTGGATATCCTGACACTCCTGAGGTCCCTGAAGCTGCTCCTGGTCTCTCCCTTTCCATCTAGTATTCCCTAATTCTGTTCAAATGACTGCCAATTATCTACGTATAGTTTCTGCATGAGCACAACTTAGTATTCTGGAATTTCCATCTTTTGCAATGTTGCTGTGATAGTTGGAGCTGTGTGTCAACTTGGCTGGACCACAATTCTGTGTCCTTAAGAACACTAGACAACATTTTAGCACTATTGTGGTAGTTAAGGTTATGTGTCAACTTGGCTGGGCCTGGTTGAGTGGCTGGACAGCTGGATGTAGTTATTTCCCATGATAAGACTGGTAATCAACTCCATGGTGGAATCTACTGGAACAGCTAAGTAGCTGTCTTAGGGATATGGTCTGCTTCCTGTATATAAGAAGCACTGAGAAAGGTCTCTGAAGCTTTTTGGCACTCTTGAATCCTACATGTAGCCAAGCCATCATTTAGCAGCCTGCCATGTTGTCTGCTGATCTTGGGACTGTTAATGGAACTTGAATCAGTGCCCTGCCATGTGGTTTGGTGATATCAGAACTGTGCCATTTTACTTGTCAACCTTGGGTTTGTCAGCCTCAGTAGCCAGCAGCTGCTGGAGCAAAGAAAGCCTCCAGCTTCAGTGTGCAGGGAGCAAGAGGCAGAGAGAGCTGAAGCCCAAGGTCGAGGGGCTTTCACCCAACCCCTAGAGCCTGGCACTTTGAACCCGGACTTCTAGCCTCCAAAACTCTAGGAGAATAAAATCCTGTTTGTTAAAGCCACTTGTGTTTTCTGTTAGAGCAGCATGAAGTAGCCAAGCTTGATTTGGTGGGACCATTCTAAATAGTGAAACTACCAACAAAAACACAAAAAGGCAAAAATTATATCATTAAAAGACTTAAAAACTGCAGAAAGGACACTTGTTTACAGTATGAAAGCTGAAACAAGAAGGCATAGGGTCAACTTGTTCAGCATTATCTAGAAAAATGAACATCAAGTGACTCAAATCTTTTGCAACTTTGTGAGTGTCGGCAAATGACTATGGAAGTGCTACAAGTATTGACTTTGGGATTACAAATAAATTTTAGCAAGTTCGCTAATTTGCAAACATAGAATCTATGAATAATGAGGATTGATTTTATATGCAAATATATGTACATACACACATGCACACACATACATCCAAACACATACACCACTAAGGATGATGACAATTTTAAAATTTAAACACTGCATTACCCTTGTTAAAATTATTCCATATGCAACCAACTTCTGCTTTTTTTCTAACTACTTTAAGTACAAAAGTAAACAGGAGCTGATGATGTGCTCAGCTACTGAGCTCCTATAGGGAGTGCTGGGGAAAGATACAGCTTCTGAGAACTCTCTTTGTACAGGGGAGAACCCATACCAGCAAGTGGCAAAGTGCCAAGTAGCCTGCTCTTTGATGAGTTCTACTATGTACTCATTGTTAAGAAAGAATTCACCAAACTACTGGTCTTTTATTTGTTATCAAATAAAGGTTTCTCTTTTGCATACCATTTGCTTCTTAGGGTTAATATATTTCTATCTGAAATATATGGAAGAAAGACCATGTCTAATTCCCTGTTCTTTGCTGCACTTTATGCTACTGCTGATACTTTCAATAACAACAAAACTTCTAATATTTAATTAACCCACCAATAAAATAGACCAAAACAATAAAAATATTGATTATTCAGTTTTATGCTGCATAAAGATGATTACACATTTTTCCAAAAATAAAACCAGCAAATACATAGCATTACTTAAATAAGCTTTATGTCCTTTTATGTGAAAACACTTACCAGGTTCATTTCTTGTGTCAACTCGGAGAGGATCATTACTCCTATTATGCAGTGTTCCACAGTACCCTTTGGAGAAAATAACCAAGTTTAGCAAAAGTGGAGATATAAATAATTAAATACTCAAGCATCACATTTAATTAATAATATATCCACTAAATATGTGGAAAATGATTACTAGTTATACAAATAAAGAATATCAAGTTCATATTTTGAAAAATAAATTTACATACACAGAGTTAAGCGGGAAAAATCTCACCTACCTTGTTGTTGCTGTTAGGTGTGGTTGAGTCAGCTCTGACTCATAATAGTGACCCTACGTACAACAGAATGAAACACCACCCAGTCCTGCACCTGACTCACCACTCTTGCTATACCTTAGCCCATCACTGCAGCCATGGTGTCAATCCACCTCATTAAAGGTCTTCCCCTTTTATGCTGACCCTCCACTTTACCAAGCATGATATCCTTCTCTAGTGAATGGTCCCTTCTGACAACATGACCAAATAGGTAAGAAGAAGTCTGGCCATTCTTGCTTCTAAGGAACATTCCTGGCTGCACTTCCTCCAGGACAGACTTGGTTTGTTCTTCTGCAGGTATGTGGTACTTTCAATATTCTTCACCAACACCACAACTCAAAAGCATCAACTCTTTTCATGGAAACAATCAATCCAAGCAACTGGTACACTGTGCGAACCTCAGCCCTATATGACCAAGAAGAACTATATTGTGCCCCGATACCACTGTCAACCACTCGGATGGGGATCTCTGTAGGAGATCCTGGATAGAGTGGGAGAACAATGTGGAACAAAACTCAAAGTCATCTGGAAAAGAAAAAAAAAAGGGACTAGATTTGCTGGTCTGGTAGAGCCTGATAGAATCACTGAGACTACAGCTCCTAGCTGCCCCTTCAGGTCTGGAATTGAACCCATTCCTGTGGCTTCCAGCCAAACAAAAGACAAGCATATGAGGTAAACAGAAGGGCTGTGTATGCACAGGGAGACAGCTCAGGGGCAGGAGAGCATGGAAGGGAAGGACACAGAGAAGAGGTAACTATGGGAAGGAAGTGGGAGGGGAACTATTGCATTGTGGTAAATTATAGTCAATGTCATGAGACAAAGTATATGTACAGTGCTATATGAAAGTGAATTTGCTCTATAAACTTTCACCCAAATCACAATTAAAAAAAGCATCAACTCTTCTTCGGTCTTCCTTATTCACTGTCCAGCTTTCACATGCATATGAGGTGACTGAAAATACCATGGCTTGGGTTAGGCACACCTTAGTCTTCAAAGAGACATCTTTGCTCTTTAGCACTGTAAAGATGTCTTTTGCAGCAGATCTGCCTGGTGCAATGCATTGTCTGATTTCTTGACACCTGCTTCCATTGGTGTTCATTGTTCACCCACCTTAGAACTGCATAATACTCTACAAAATCTCTTCAGCACCTTGGACTTAAACTAAGCTTCAAAATTTAAGAGTTGACTTTAATATTTTTCATAGAATCGTGAATGAGCAGAAAATTGCTAATTTTTAGTTCTATACATTCTTTTGAAGGACACTGACATAATTACATTTTAAAAAAATAACGAATAAGTAGCTTAGTAACCAATTAAAATCTCTGGATCTAATATTAGATAAGATTAGTTAGGCCCTTTTAATATTATTTAATACTACATGTATATACAGTTATTAGGTACCTTTAATGAAGGCATCTAAAGTACCCAAGGAGGTAAATACAGAACTAGCAATACGGTATACAGTTTTACAGAACTCACACTCTCTCTCTCTGTGTGTGTATGCGTGTGCATTAAGAAGTAATGAGAAAAAACAGCTGCAAACATCCATTAATAATTAGAATGTGGAATGTATGGAGTATTAATCTAGGAAAATTAAAAATCATCAAAAATGAAATAGAATATGTAAACAAACATCAATACCCTAAACAACAGTGAGCTGAAACGATCATTATGAATTGAACAATCCTATACTCTACTATAAGGGGCTCTAGTGGTATAGTGGTTAAGGCATTTGGCTGCTAATCAAAAGATTGGCAGTTCAAACCCACCAGCTACTGTGCAGAAGAAAGATGGGGCAGTCTACTTCCATAAAAATTTACAGTCTTGGAAACCCAATGGGGGTCACCATAAATCAGAATTGACTCAATGACAGTGATTTTGGTTTGGTTTGAGTGACAGTCTACCATACCCAAATGACAAACTGAAAAGGATCAGTGTCGCATGCATTGTCAAAAAGAAAGTATTTCAAGATCTCTCCTGAAGTACAATGCTGTTTGTGATAGGGTAATATCCATTTTCCTACAAGAAAGATCAGTTAATATGACTATTATCCAAATTTACACACTAAAAATAAAGGAAATGAAGCCAAAGATAAAGAAACTGAAGATTTTTACCAACTTCTACAGTCTGATATTTATCAAACATTCAATTAAGAAGCCTTGATTATTACTGTCGATTGAAACGCGGAAATTGGAAACAAAGAAGAAGCATCGGTAGTTGGAAAATATGGGCTTGGTGACAGAAATTACAGAGATCACATGACAGAATTTTACAAGACCAACAACTTACAACTACAAACACCTTTTTTCAACAACATACACAGCAACTATACATGTGTATCTTGTCAGAAGGGATATACAGAAATCAAATCTACTACATCTCTGGAAAAAGATGGAAAAGGTCAATTGCATCAGTCAGAACAAGGTCAGGGACTGACCATGGAGCAGACCCTCAATTGCTCATATGCAAGTTCAAGCTGAAGTTGAAGAAAACTAAACCAAGTGTACAAGAGCTAAAGTATGATTTTGAGTGTATCCCAACTGAACTTAGAGGCCATCTCAAGAACAGATTTGACACATGTTCTGGTTACCTAGTGCTGCTCTGACGAGAATATACCACAAATAGGATGGCTTTAGCAAACAGGAGCTTATTCTTACAATTTGGAGAATAAGTCTGAGTTCAAAGTGCCAGGCTCTAGGGGCTGGGTGAAAGCCCCTCAAGCTTGGGCTTCAGCTCTGCCTCCTGCTCCTGGCCCACTGAAGCTGGAGGCTTTTCTTCACTCAGCTGCTGGCTGCTGAGGCTGACAAACCCAAGGTCGATAAGTAATAAGGCACAGTCCCAATATTACCAAAACGCACAGCAAGCCATTAATTCGAGTCCATTAAAAGTTCCAAGATCGGCAGAGCATGGCAGTCTGCTAAACAACGACTTGGCTACACACACGGTTCAAGCATGCCATAAGCTAGAGACCATTCCCAAAGCTGCTTCTTATATATGGGAAGCAGACCACACCCTTAAAGCAGCTACTCTGCTGCTCATGGTAGATCCCACCATGGAGTTGACTGCTGGTCTCATCACGGGGAATAACTACCACCAGCTGCCCAGCCACTCAGCTAGGCCAAGCCAAGTTAACAGACAACCTTAACTACCACAACACATTAAAGACACTAATGACCAGAGACCAGACGAGTTGTGGGATGACATTAAGAACATCACACATGAATAAAGAAATGGAGGATAGAAACGTGAATGGAAGAAACGATGAAGAAAAAGAGCTGAACAGAAAATTTCAAAAGGAGATGCAAGAAGACAAAGTGTTGTAATGAAAGTGCATAGACCTAGAGTTAGAAAACTAAAAGAGAAGAATACGCTCAGCATTTCTCAAGCAAGAGACATGAAGAAAAAATTCAAGCCTAGAGTTGTAATAACTGAAGAATTCTAAAGGCAAAATACTGAAAGATGCAGGAAGCATCAAAAGATTATGGAAGGAATACACAGAATCACCGTACTAAAAACAATTAGTCTATCTTCAACCATTTTAGGAGGTGGTATATGATCAAGAATCAATAGTATTGAAGTAATAAGTATAAGCTGCACTGAAGGCACTGGCAGAAAAAACAGGGGTCCAGGAATAGGCAGAATACCAACTAAGATATTTAACAAACAGATGCAACACTGGAAGCGCTCAGCTATCTATGCCAGGAAATTTGGAAGCAACTACCTGACCATCTAACTGGAAGAGATCCATATTTATGTCCATTCCAATAAAACAAAACCAAACTCACTGTCATCGGATTGCATCCGACTCATAGCGACCCCCTCTTGGGTTTCTGAGGCGGTATTACTATGGAAGTAGATTGCCCAACCTTCCTTCCAAGTAATGTCTGGTGGGTTTGAACCGTCAGCCTTCTGGTTAACAGTCAAATGCCTTACGCACCAAACAGAGGGCCAAAGAATGCAGAAATCATCAAACAATATCATTAATAACATATGCAAATAAAATTATTCTGAAGATAATTCAAAAATGGTCACAGCAGTGAACTGACAGGGAACTGTCAAAAAATCCAGCCAGATTCAGAAGAGGACATGGAATGAGGGACATCATTGCTGATGTTTAAGAATACCAGAAAGATATCTACCTGTGCTTTATTGATTGTGCAAAGGCATTCAACTGTGTAGATCATAACAAATTATGAGCAATATTTTGAAGAAGGAATTTCAGAACACTTAATTGTGCTCATGTGGAACCTGTACATAGACCAACAGGCTGTCGTTCAACAACAACAAGGGAATAATGCATGATTTAAAATCAGGAGAGGTGTGTGTATCCTTTCACCATGCTTATTCAATCTGTATGCTGAGCAAATAATCCAAGAAGCTGGACTATATGAAGAAGAATGCAGCATCAGGACTGGAGGAAGATTCATTAACAACCTGCTATATGCAGATACCACAACTTTGCTTACTCAAAGTGAAGAGGATTTGAACGCTTACCGATAATGATCAAAGAGTACAGCCTTCAGTATGCATTACACTGCAACATAAAGAAAACAAACATCCTCACAACTGGACCAATAAGCAACATTTCAATAAATGGAGGAAAAGGCTGAAGTTATCAATGATTTCATTTCACTTGGACCTACAATCAACACTCATGGAGGCAGCAGTGAAGAAATCAAATGACATACTATGTTGGGCAAATATGCTGCAAAAGACCTCGTTACACTGTCAAAAAGCAAAGATGTCACCTTGAGGACTAAGTTATGCCTGATCCAAGCCATGGTATTTTCAATCACCTTCTATGCATGCAAAAGAATGAATTAATTCACAATTAATAAGGAAGCCCAAAGAAGAGTTAACATTTTGGAATTATGGTGTTAGTAAAGAACACTGAATATACCACAGACTGCAGAAGAACGAATAAATACATTCTGGAAAAAGTACAGCTGGAATGTTCCTTAGATGTGATGATGGCAAGACTGTCTCAGGTAGTTTGGACAGGTTATCAGGAGAAACTTGTCTCTGGAGAGGGACATCATGCTTGGTAAAGTAAGGGTCAGTGAAAAAGAGGAAGATCCTCAGTGAGACGGGCTGACATAATGGCTACAACAAGCTGAAATATAAAAATGATTGTGAAGATGGCGCATGACTGAACAGTAATTTGTTCTTTTGTACATAGGGTCACTACGAGTTAGAACTGACTTGACAGCACCTAAAAACATCAATGTTTTTTATTTAATCAGTTTCCAATTTAATCTTAAAAATTTCCTTCAAATAAAAATTCTATTTTCATTACGCACATTACTTACAAGTTATCCTACTGTAAGGTCACACTGGAAGTACAGAAATAATAAACACAACATCCAAATACACTGCAATCATTTACAAAATCACTAGTTCAGATGATACACTTTTGAAATCTTAATTATACAGTTGGTCATTCCTTCTATCACAGAATTCCACAAGTGTAATTAAATTCAAATTATCCTAGAGGAAAAAAGGAATTAAAGACACATCCCAACATTCTGCACTTTAATTCTTTATAGCCTCTGAGGACAGTGTAGGTGTCTGAACTGAGCTACAAATTTCCTACTCCCTAAAGCATCCCACCTGTGTATACTACATCCATGCTACTGAAAGTGTGCTCACTGACCAACTGCTGGCTCATGAACACACTGGTGGTCTGTAAACTATTGCAATCTGAGAATGGTTTGATACTGGTCAGTAACAAGATATGGAGCTTGCACCAAAATACAAAACAGCGACGTCACTAAGTACCCTATTTAGGTCAGCTGGCATTCTTTTTTTTTTTCATAGCCAAGTCTGTCTCAATGAAGGAAGAGCCATGTAGAATTTACCTTCTGACACAAGCTCTGTACCTCACTGCAGACCAGCAATTTGAAAACCACTGCTCTAGATTATAGCAGTATCTCCTTGGTATGTATATAGAAAGGAGGCATGTAAATACGGAGTATGACAGCAATAAGATTACAAAAACAGAGAAAGGAAAATGCACCAAAAACTTCAAGCCATTAAAGATTTAACAAACCTTAAAATAATTTTTAGGGCAAAACCCACAGAAGCAGCTAATGCCCAAAGGAGCGATGTGGTACTATTTTACAGTAGTGAAACAGTAAAGGCAATTGCCTTTCTCATGACTCAAGTTTAGGTCCAGTCATATACACAGAAAGCAAGTACTAAATATTTTGTGATGATACCACAATAAACTTAGAAGATAAAACATTTTCTGCTTCTCTGGCCTTCCCAAACTGACAAAAGCTAATAGAGAACACTGGGGTCCAATTGAACTGAGCTTAACAGCCCTGAGAATGGAGCTTGAGAAATGTTAGCCAACAGGAATTACTTCACTCTATTCAGTGTTCAACCTTGACTTTACATTAAAAGAACTCCAAAGTCTGATCTCATCTGTGCTTATGACTCTTGATGAATTGTGTGGAACTGTGTAAATGACATGAGGGGGTGCAATTGCGCTAGTGAAAATCACAAGCACAAATCTAAAGTGAGAAGCTCATGAACTCTCCCTTTGCCTCACTGTACAGTGATCTCCTTAAAGGGTAAGAAATACACTTATTCCTGGGAATATTTATTAACCAGGATTTTTAACAACATGACTAAAAGAGAAGCAGTATAATCTAGTATTTCATATTCTGAAGCCCCCAGCATTGCACCATATGATGGACTTCTTAAAAAGCAATTCAATTTTAAAGTTAGTGTGCAAGAAGTAAAATCTTAGAAAGTCAAAATTACCCCTAATTGCCAATAAATCAATATTGAACTATCTCTCAATTAATCCAACACTATCAGTTTTTTCATAGATCACTGCTTCTTTGGCTCAACACTTAGGGATAGTGTGTGTAGAGAAAAAAAAATGGGTATTTAAATATTTGAATCACACTGAACAGGGAATGACTGTCAGCCTAAGAAGAAAGCACACAGGAACCAAGAGCAGATTTTGGTTTTCCATATCACACTCACCCCAGGACATACCATCACCGTGTGGAATGCCAAGTGAAATCACTAGCACAATTTAATTTCCTCTTGCCTTTTTTTTTTTTTTTTTTACAGCTTCCAAAAACCTGAATTTATATAATTTAAATGTAAAAAAGTGCATATAACTTTATTTAAATCAGTTAGGTTGAAAACATTCTTAAGAAACTGATATAAAAGTTGGAAATACAAATACCATTTGACCCAGCCATCCCATTACTAGGTATATACCCTAAAGAAGTGAGAGCCATAACAAGATCAGATATATGCACTCCGATGTTCATCGCAGCACTATTTACAATAGCCAAATCTTGGAAACAACCTAGATGTCCAACAACTGAGGAATGGATAACCAAACTTTGGTACATTCACACAATGGAATACTATGCAACGCTAAAGAATAATGTTGTTGTTGTTGTTGTTGTTGTTATGTGCCGTCGAGTCGGCCCCGACTCATAGCGACCCCTCCTTGGGTTTCCGAGGCAGTATCACTACGGAAGTAGGATTGCCCAACCTTCCTTCCGAGGAGTGGCTGGTGGGTTTGAACCGCCAGCCTTCTGGTTAGCAGTCAAGTGCTTTAGCCACTATGCTACCAGAGCTCCTAAAGATAATGTAGAATCTGCAAAACACCGCATAACGTGGATGAACTTGGAGGACATTATGCTGAGCGAAATAAGTCAGTCACAAAAGGACAAATATTGTATTAGTCCGTTATTGTAAAAGGTAAGGAAAGGTTTATATATTGGAGGACATATTCTTTGTTGGTTACCAGGGGTGGGAGGGGAGAGGAGGGAATGCTGTTAGATAGATAGAGATAAATATTGATTTGGGTGAAGAGAAGGGCAATGTACCAAATGTGAGTGACCAATATGGCAGCATTGAGGATGAGAAAGACATAGAGAGTTACATGGGCAGTACAGACAACAAATATGAAGCCCTTTGCATATACAGTACTGAGTTGTCAATGAAAGCAAACATGGGTATAGGGACGGATAGATGGGTGAACAAACTAAACAATTAGGTATGTCTAAATGGAGAGTGTATCCAAGATCATATATAGGGTTGGCAAACAATGGGCCTATAAGTTCATGTGAATGATCAGAATTCCCAGGTGTATAGTAGAGCTGACAAGGGGCAAGGTTATGGTCATTACTTGGTCACAGCCAGCTACCCAGAGGGACCGAGTAGTTGATCCTGCGGGCTTGGGACCATAGTCGCAGGGGACATCAAGCTCAATTGGCATAACATACTATACAAAACATTGTTCCACCTACTACTTTGGCGAGTAGCGACTGGGTCCTTAAAAGCTAGGAAGCTGCCATCTAGATGCAACAACGGGTCTCTCCTCGTCAAGAAGAAAGAAGAAAACCAAAATTAATGGAAACAACCAGTCCTAGCGACTGGTACACCATCTGATCTGCAACCTATACAACTATGAGACCAGAAGAACTAGATGGTGCCCAGCTACCACTGCCATCCACTTGGAAGGGATGTAGGAGATCCTGCATAAAGAGGGAGAACAATGTGGTACAAAACTCAAAATCATTTGGAGGCAAAAAAAAAAAAAGAAGGTGGGGACCAGGTTTGCTGGTCCAATGGAGTCTGGTGTAACCACTGAGACTATGGCCCCTAGCTGCCCTTCAGGTCTGGAATTGAACCCACAACTGTGGTTTCCAGCCAAACAAAGTACAGGCATGTGAGTTAAACATTTACCTCAAGCAGACACACGCCCTGGAGAGAAAAATCATGGGAGAAGGAAGGGCTGCTTATGCACAGGGAGATAGCTCAGGGTGCAGAAGAGTATGAAGGGATGGACACTGGGAGGAGGTAACTATGGGGAGGAAGTGGGAGGGGAGCTGCTGCATTGTAAATTTTGGTCAATGTCATGAGACAAAGTATATGTGAACTGCTGTATGAAAAGTGAATTTACTCTGTAAATCTTCACCCAAATCCTAATAAAAAAGAAACTGATATAGTTAATGTGGTACAGTATAAAACTTTTAAATATGTATATTTTAAGGTAGGACACTTGTTAAAGTGCTAGCTCTACACTTTACTAGGTCACTGTGTAATCTTATGGAGATTACTTGACTTTCTAAACCTGTTTTCTTACTGACAAAATAAAATCCACTTTATAGGATTACAACGAGCATTTAATTAGATAATATATGAAAAGCATTATATACTTGTTTTGTATATATGTAGTATTTAAATAGACACATCACAAATGGAAGAGGATATATTTTTGAAATTAGAAAGCATTATTATTTGCATTCTTCTGGTTTGGAAGATATAGAAAACTCTAACAGCATGATCCTCACTTACTGACAATATAACATAAAGGGGCCCTAGGGATGAATAATAAACATAATTAATATGGTACTGGTAGACATACACCCAACCATAGAACTTTACAAGAAGTAGTATTCTAAACTATAAAAGCAACTAGTGATGTCCAATAATGCAGTAATACCTTCTTACCTGTAGAAACTTTTCCACATCAGCAATAATTTCTCTGAAGACAAATTGCTCTTTCTTAACCTCAAACCACCCCAACTTAGTTATTTTAGCAATAACTTGAACAAGAGCTTGGATGACAAAGGGAGCCAGCTTGGGTTGTGATGCCACATAATTCAGAATGTAGTTTCCTATAAAGAAAATACTCTATGATTATTTGAACTTTTCACTAACATAATGTAAATTGTGCAGAAAAAGAGAAGTCAACAATATGCTCTTGACAAAAAGTTAATCCTTTTCTCCAAGATATGTACTTATTTATATAGGCAGTTCTGTTAGAAGGCTTGTTTTGAAAATGCAAATTTGTTGCAATGTAAAGGCTATCTTAGGAGAGAATTTGAATACAATGACAATGTCACTTTTGTTTACATGTGATTTCATCCACAAGAAAAAGCTAGGTGAACACAGAAAACTGTAACCAGACCAAATGCACCAAGCCATGTAAAAACACACAATAAGCACAAACCTCTAACATTTACCAACTACCTCAGTTTGCCCCATGTGTTATAAGCCATACTCATTCTCATCGGGTGTTATAATTTCCCATCTTATTTCAATAATCTTCCTTCTACCACTTCATAATAACTCACAAGCTGGAACTCTTTTGCAGTCTAAAAACAAACTTCAGGTTTTTTCAAGATGAAATGCCATGTTTATTATGTTGTGTTGTTGTTATTTGCCATCGAGTCGGATCTGACTCATAGTGACCCCTCCTTGGGTTTCCGAGGCAGTATCACTACAGAAGTAGATTGCCCAAACTTCCTTCCGAGGAGTGGCTGGTGGGTTTGAACCGCTAGCCTTCTGGTTAGCAGTCAAGTGGTTTAGGCACTATGCTACCAGAGCATATAAAATATATTTATTATAGTACTCATGAATTTCTTAACCATTTAACATGTATAAACTATGCTACCACTTTTATTAGATTCTTGTCTTTTTTCTAATGTGTCACTAACAAGGTTTTGAATGCTGTTTCCATAACCCCTTTTTTCTCATAAGACCTATGTATTTTTTACAGACATTACATAAACAGTCACTTTTAGAAAGACATATGTCATGTTATAGCAAAACTGTCTTGTTTATATGGCATATAAAAATACAAGAATAAAATAGTAAAGTAAAGCTTGGAATTAAGGGACTATACAAAAAGTATTAAAGGTAAGTAGTAAATTCAGCTTTGAGCTGCTAATGGACTGAATAATTGATGTCAGGTAACAAATATACCACAAAGTCTATCAGAAAACAATAAAAAAGTATATAAAATAAAGGAAAAAGATTTAATTTCTACTTTGGCCCCAAAGGCTAGCATGCTATTTGGGAAAAGAGTGAAAAGGAAGTTAACCCTTAAATATGTAACTAAAATGCTTTGATGGAAACAATTCTGAAATCCAAGAATACTTAAAAATATTAACTATAATTTATGCCTAGAGAGCTAGCATATGAATTATGTGGAGAGAGAATACATGGAATAAGAAGAAACTACCACAAGATACTCAAGAAAGGATTTAAGAGGTGAGGATAGGAGAAACTTGAATCTTCATACATGGCTGTTAAGACTGTAAAATGATACAGCCATTTTGGAAAACAGTTTGGCAGTTTCTTAAAAAGGTAAGCATAAATTTAGTTTATGACCCAGCAACTGTACTACTAGGTATACTCAAGAGACATGAAGACATCTGACACAAAAATACTTGTATGTTAAATTGGCATTCAATTCAAATCGAATTCAAATTGGCATTATTCATAATTGCCAAAATGTGGAAAATACCCAAATATCTATCAACTAGTAAACAGAGAAACAAAATTCTATATAGTAGAATATTACTCAATAATAAAACGGAACAAAATATTGATACATGCTATAGCATGGATGAACCTCAAAAGCATTTTGCTAAGTGAAAGAAGCCAAATGCAAAAGACTAAATATTATATGACTTCATTTGTATGAAATAACTATAAAATTCACTCTATAGAGACAGAAAGCACATCAGGTATTGGCAGGAGTGGGAAAACAACTGACTATAAATGAGCATGATGAATCTTTTTGGAGTGATGAAAATGTTCTAAATTGGATTGTAGTGATGTTAATACAACTGTGTAATTTACTGAAAATCATTAACTGTACATTTAAAACAAGTTAACTTAAAATTAATGGTGTAGTACCTAAGGCACATGCCTACTAACCAGAAGGCTGGCAATTCAAACCCACCAGCTACTCCTCGGAAGGAAGGTTGGGCAATCTCCTTCTGTAGTAATACCGCCTTAGAAACCCAAGGAGGGGTTTCTATGAGCCAGATCCGACTCAATGGCAGCGAGTTTGTTTTTTTTTCAAAAGTTGTATGCAAGGAAAGAAAGGGAAGGAGGGAAGAAGGAAGGAGGGATTGATTGATTTATGTAGGTAACTAAATTTAAGCTATACTTTCCTAAGGCGCTTGACTGCTAACCAGAAGGCTGGCAGTTCAAACCCACCAGCCACTCCTCGGAAGCAAGATGGGGCAATCTACTTCCTTAGTGATATTGCCTCGGAAACCCAAGGAGGGGTCACTATGAGTCGGGTCCGACTCGAGGGCACATAACAACAACAACAACAACAATACTTTCCTTTCAATCAAAGACAAAAGGGACAATTATTCCAGTTTCTGGAAACAGAGTAAGAAAAGACACAGAGACAGAAATAAGATGGCATGAAGGAAGACCTTCTGGTACAACTAACAGCATAGTACCAGTGAAGACATAAGGCTAACTAAGTAAGGTTGGTCTTCAATGACAAACTCAGAAAGGGACTTCAATACTAAGCTGAGAAAAATGGTACTTAACTGATGAGCAACAGGTAGCTATTAAGTTATACAAGTGTGGTAGTTAAGTTTGTGTGTCAGCTTGGCTGGACTGGTTGAGTGGCTGGGCAGCTGGATGTAGTATTCCCCATGATCACACTGGTAATCAACTCCATGGCAGAATCTACTGTGAGCAGCTGAATAGCTGCCTTAGGGATGTGGTCTGCTTCCTGTATATAAGGAGAAGCCATGGGGAACTGTCTCTAGCTTATAGCACGTTTGAACCCTAAATGTTGCCATGCCATTGTTCAGCAGCCTTCCATGCTCTGCTGATCTTGGGACTTTCAATGGACTTGAATCAACGCCTGCCGTGTGGTTTGGTAACATCGGAACTGTGCCATTTTATTGGTCGACCCTGGGCTTACTAGCCTCAGAAGCCAGTAGCTGCCTAGAGGAGATGCCTCTAGTTTCAGTGGGCCAGGAACAAGAGGCACAGGTGAAGCCCAAGGTCGAGGGACTTCCACACAGCTCCTAGAGCCTGGCACTTTGAATTCGGACTTAAAGACTCCAATGCTGTAAGAGAATAAACTCCTGTTTGTTCAAGCCACTGCAATTGTGGTATATACCTGTCAAGAGCGGCAGTAGGTAACCAGAACAACAAGTAAAATTAGAAAATAGTGTGGTTGACACAGGAATTGGCAACAGAGTTTTTGCTGGGACAGAATGAGATAAGTAGAATGGAATCATATCATGAAGGACTGAGGAGCTGAGGTGATAAAATGTGATTGTTGAGGCATTTTCCATTATAACTGACAGGTCAATTATTTTACCCACAAATACCAGTTATACATAACACATCATGACAAATACTCTAAGCTACTTACAGAAACAAGAGTAGTTAAGTTAAACCAAAAAACAAAGTTAAACTCATGAAAGAAACATATCCTTTCTCATTTGAAATCTTTTGCAATATTTTGTTGTTGTTATAGCACACTAACTCAGTGTCTGATCAGAAATCAGAGATTTATATCATATAGACAAAGTATCAAATACATATATCAATGCAAGGCACTTTGGGAAACTAGAGACTAGTTTCCAGGTTCACATGCAAAAATTGTTTTAAGTTGCTGTATCTGCATTGTGGGTTTCAGTTTCCTTTTTTCCCTAATTTCCTTTAATGAGCATTACCATTTTTTAAGTACCCATTTTGAAAAATAAGTTAAAAAAAAAACCCACAATGTTTTATGACTTAGGTTTATAACATTTAAATCTTATTTTTAAAAAGGCTTTTTAAACACACAAATCCATGAATGCATGGATAAATTCATCTCTAAGGGCCTAAGACTTCTTATGCTTAGAGAAATATCAATCAAATAACTGAAGCAAACAAGACACATCATTGTGTGATTTTGGTCATTTACAAATTGAGCTTAAAGGTCCATACTACATTTCAATTTTTCTAATAAACAAAAATAAATCATGTTAACCTTGAGGCTAGAGAGTAGACATGAGTCAAGAGTCTAAGTATTTATTTCTAAATGAATAAAGATGACAAAAAAATATATATATATCAGCTTGATTATTAGCACTTTGGCCATGTATAAAGCAAACTCCAACACACATGCGTCCCACATAATTCTAATACAGCAGACATCCAGTTGCATATTTAGTTAAGGGAATGGCTAAGAGTATGTACTCCACAAAGACTGCATAGGTTTAAATCACAGTCCTGCTACTTGCTAGCTTGGTGACCTTGATCAAGTCACAGAGTCTATCTAAATCTTATTTCCTCATTTGCAAAACAAGAATAACAATAGTGCCCATCTCAGTTTGGGGATGAAATGAGATAGTACAAATCCTAGTAACAATAAACACTGAAAAATGCTAGTTTTATTTACTGTGAAACTAAGCAAATATTTTTCTGATTACAGGTAGCTTTGTATATAACACACATCTTTGTTTATTACTAGATAGGAAAAGATGACTTGATTACTCAGCCTAAAAAAAAATGGCAAAATCAAGTCAGTCACATGTCTTGTACCAATTTAGCATATTTAAAAACAAAAAGTTATTTATAAAGTGCAATTTTATGAAAGAGTAATAAACCACTTACTGATATCCATCCTCTGTTCAATAGGTAAAGGACTGACTCGGCTAATAAGTTTTGAAAGACATGTTGCTGCAAGGAGCTGGGCATAGGATGTCTGTAAAGAATAATAAATTTTTATCTATTATTATCACAAATGAAATTAAAATCATCAAAATGCTATAAGAACTCTTCCTAAGCAAAAATGGGAATTTTTCAGGTTTTTCAAACTGGCTGATTACAATTGGATAAAACACAACACAGACCCATATATACATACAATATACAGTCCCTCATAAGGGATCAACTGCCGAGAGAGGTGCAGATAGCATCCTCAAATAGCAGCCAGCATTCAGAGAAGTAAATAACTATGTTGTTGTTGTTTGCCGTCGAGTCGGCCCCGACTCATAGCGACCCCTCCTTGGGTTTCCGAGGCAGTATCACTACGGAAGTAGGAT